GCAGTAGTAGGCAGTTTTCTAAGCCTGCTTTTTACACTTAGGATTATGCTGTTTCTAGGGTGATGTGCAAAGTTAAATTTTTTTGTAGCTTGGTGGTCAGGAACCTGGGAAGGAAGGTCCAAGTCTCCCTTGACAACCTGATGTTCACTTCTCTTTGAGCTCTGAAGACAAGATTGAGGAGCTGCCTTTTGATTTGGGGATAGAGTAGGTTAAGTGCTCTTACGTTGCTTTACCATCCAATACAGACAAAGTCCAATGACAAAGGATGGTAATGCCAATATGCCTTTTTTTTTTTTTTAACAGCTTTACTGGGATAATTCGCACACTATATGATTCACTCATTTAAATTGTACAATTCCAGTGGTTATTAATATATTTACAGAATTGTGCAACCATCACAGTAATCTATTTTTAGGACATTTCATCATCCCAAGAAGAAACTGTGCATATTAACTATTATACTCCATTCCCACTCCCCCGACCCCAGCCTCTGGGCACCACTAATCTACTTTCTGTCTCTATGGATTTGTCTGTTCTGAACATTTTATATAAATGAAATCATACACTATGTGTCCTTCCTTTACTTAGTATAATGTTTTCAAGGTTCATTTATGCTGTAGCATGTATCAGTACTTTATTCCCGAATAATATTCCATTGTATGGATATATATCACCTTTTTTTTTTTTTCTGAGACAGAGTCTTGCTCTGTCACCTGGGCTAGAGTGCTGTGGCGTCAGCCTAGCTCACAGCAACTTCAAACATCTGGGCTCAAGTGATCTTCCTGCCTCAGCCTCCCAAATAGCTGGGACTATAGGCACACACATGCCCAGCTAATTTTTTACATTTTTAGTAGAGATGGGTTCTGGCTTCTGCTCAGGCTGGTCTTGAACTCCTGAGCTCAAGCAAACCTCCTGCCTCGGCCTCCCAGAGTGCTAGGATTACAGGTGTGAGCCACTGCATGGAGCCAAGATATATGCTATTTTTTGTTTATCCATTCATCTGTTGATGGATATTTGGGTCATTTACACTTTTCGACTATTATGAATAATGCTGCTGTGAACATACATGTATGAGTCTTTGTGTAGACATATATTTTGATTTCTGTTGGGTATATATCTAGTGGTGAAATTGCTGCGTCATATGGTCACTTTATGTTTTAACATTTTGAGGAACTGCCAAACTGCTTTACAAAGTGGTAGCACCATTTTATTAAATACATCCCCACCAACAATTCATAAAGGTTCCAATTTTTCCACATCCTTGTCGGCTCTTATTATTGTCAGTCCTTTTGATTATAGCCATCCTTGTGGATGTGACACGGTATCTTAT